CTGGCCTGTTATTGGGTCACAGCTTTGGCTCCAGCCCTGTTTGGGATACGAGTGGGGCTCTGGTCCCTATATGGGCTGCACCTTCAGCTCTGTCACTAACTTCAACTGTGACTACCTTTGGTCTCTGTTCATGCTGTTATTTTGACTGGCCCCATTTTTGGCCATTGCCTCATCTCCTGCCATCGCTCGGGACATTTCAGCTCTGGCCTCATCTTGGGCTGAGCCTTCGGATCCAGTCTGATGCCAAGCCACGGCTTTGGCTCCAGCCCTGTGTCAGGCTATGACTGTGTGGTTCTTACCCCATACTGGGCCACGATTTTAACTCTGGCCCCTGCTCAGGCCATAACTTCATCTGCAGCCCAAATCTGGGCTGCAAGGTCATCTTGGCCCCATCTTGGTCTGCAGCTTTTGCTCCAGCCCTAACTCAGGCTCTGGCCCAGTGGTGGTCACAACTTTGGCTCTGGCTGCGTATCATGCTGTGGCTTCAGTGCTGGCCTTGTACTGGGCCACAACTTCAGCTCCAGGCTGCTATTAGGCCATGGCTCCAGCTCTGACTCCTGAATGGGCTGTGATTTTGGCTCTGGGTCCATCTTGGGCTGTGACTTCATATCTGACCTCTGTCAGCTCTGACCTCCAGGCTGTGAGTGAAGATCTGGAGTCATTTTGGGACACTACAATGGCTCCAGAGTCCTTTTTGGAAGCGATTTCAGCTCTGGGCCCCATCTTCAGCCACACCTTTGATTCTGGCTCCATTTCAGGAAATGACTTTGTCCCCAGCCTGGTATCAAGCTGTGACTTCAGTTCCTGCCTCCTCTTGAGCAGTGACTTAGGCTCTGGCCCCATCTTGGGACTAAATTTTGACTCTGATCCCTGTTCTGACCATGACATCTGCTCCAGCCCCATCTCAGACTGCAGCTCTGGCTGTGGCCCCTGTTTCAGCTCTGATTTCAGTTCATCCACTATCTGTGCCACCGCTTTGGCTGCAGACCCATCTCAGGCTGTGACTTTGGCTCCAGCTCAGTCTTGGGCCATGGTCTCTGCTCTGGCCCTGGATTGGGCTGCCACTTTAGCTCTGCTCTAATCACAGCTCGCAACTTTGTCTCTGGGCCCTTCTTGGATTACAAATTTCCTTCTGGCCCATGCTCAGGGCATGACGTCAGGTCAACCCCTGTGTGGGTCTGTGACTTCAGCTTCTGCCATAGCTTGGGCTGCTGCATGCCTCTAGTCCAGATTCAGCTGTGGTCCATGCTCAGGCAGCTGTTGCTCAGGTGGCCAGAAATCAGAGCACAACTTTGGTACTGGCCTTGCTTGGGAAGCTGGTGCAGCTCTGGCCCCATCTTCATCCACATCTTTGTCTGTGGTCCGGTACTGGGCTGTAACTTTGACTCTGGCCCTTGCTCAGTCCATGACTCCAGCACTACATCAGGCTGCAGCTGTTGCCTCATAGCAGGCTGTGACTTTGGCTCTGGTCCAGTCTTGGGCAGTGATTTCAGCACTGGCCTCTGCTTGGGATGTACCTTTAGCTCAGCACCCATCCGGTGTCACAGCTTTGGCTCTGGCCTCCTACTGGGCTGTGACTTTGACTCCAGATCCTTCTCGGGTAGTGATTTCAGCCTGTTCCCTGTTTGGGCTGTGACTTCTGCTCCAGCCCCACCTTGAGCTGTGAGCTCAGCGGTGGATGCATTTGGGCCTCATCTTCATCTCCTGTCCAGTATCAGGCCATGACTCTGGCTCTGGCCCAGTATTGGATCATGACTCTGGCTCTGTTCCCTGCTCTGGTTTGAAGGTCCCACACCTATTCAGGTCATGACTTCAGCTCCAGACCACCTTGGGCTGCAACTTTGGTTCTGGCCCCATTTTGAGCTGCAGGTTTGGCTCCAGCTCCGTATTGGTCTGTTGGACTTTGCCTCTGGCCCCTGCTCAGGCTGTAACTTTGACTCCAGCCCCTTCTCACACTGCCACTCGGGCCTCAGAGCTATCTCGGGTCACAGCTTAGCTCTGACCTAATACTGGGCTGCGATTTGTGTCTCTAGCCCCATCTTGGGCGGTGATTTTGGCTCTGGACTGACTTTGGGCTGTGACTTTGGCTCTAGCCCAATTGTGGGACCTGCTTTTAGCTCCAGCCGTGCTTGGACTTCCACTTCAGTATTCTCCCAATTTCAGGTCCAGCCCCACCTTGGGCTGCTGCTTTGGCTGCAGTCAGGTATCAGGGTGTTACTTTGGCTCCAAGCCTCTTCTGGGGAAGATACTGCAGCTCTGGCCACGGCACCTGCTCCTCTGTCCCTTCTGTGCTGCCAAAGGCACCCACTGACGCTGCTCCAACTTGACGGCCACTGCTGCCACGTGGGGGTGTGCTGGCTGTGCTGGCCTGGGCACCAGTAAGAGACCTTGTGTCGTCTCCAGGCATCCCAGAGCATGCGAGCACAGTCCCGCTGCACTGCCTCACCAAGGGGGCGTGTGTGGATGCTGCCTTTCAGCCACACAGACCCACACAATGTCTTACTGTCAGTAATGATGGCTGCACCCCAGTGTCGTGACAAGAGCAATGGAAATAGAGTCACAAGTGAGGTAAAAGGATGAAAGTCAACTTTATCCACTAGTTGAAACTGCAGTGTAGCTGGACAGGTGCTGGGCACCCTGTGGACTAATGTCACTCGTTCCCTGGTTGGCCCAGGAACTCCCCAGCTGGTCCCCACACTAATGCAACAGTGCAGTGATTCCAGATGAGGCTCACTCGAGGCAAGGTCAGCAGAACAACCAAGCATTTAACTAATTGTCACAAAAACTCTCCGGGTCACATTTTCAAGGTCTTGACAATTTCCTCTCCTACTTCATCTAAGTCAGCCCACGTAACTCTGTGCTTTGTTAACTGACATCCTGGGTTGAGGATGCGGCTGCCCCAGAAACTCCTCGAGGCTGCTCCTGCTGCAGAACGGACCAAACAATCCATTGATGAGACACGTGCCCATGGCCTCCCCCAGCTGCAGAAACGCTCACACAGGACAGCTTGCTGTGCATAGGTAAGGCAGGAGATCTTTTGTACTCTGCAGTGGTGGTGACGGATCAGGTAGGCACTGGAGCAGTCACAGGCCAGTTGGAAATGGGGATTGGCAAGAGGATGGGAGGCAATGGCACCAAAAAAGCACGTCTGCGTAACAAAGTTCTAACATGTCTGGGGACTACGAATCCCTTCTAGGACACCAGGGTGCCCCTGTGCAACCTCTGCCCCACGCAAAGAAGAGACAAACCCTGTGAGCTGCACCAAGAGGTTTCTGCATCTGGCCCCACAGAGGGGATGACCAAGGAGTGTGGCTGGGGCAGACGCTGGGCTTTGCAGGGTGCGGCAGGACACAGGCACCACTGCCTGCAAACAGGAGGACAGCAGGGAAAGGAAGAAGTGTCAGCTCCAATCCGACAGTAATGCTCATCTCCCCAACATAAGAATTCACAATTATTTTTCAATAATATTTATCAGAAACATGGCACTTTACATCTTCAGGGCACTAAATATACAATGATTATTCCTCACAACATCCCTGTGAGGTAGGCATTAGACTGCAATTACTATTTGATGTGTGGACAGAGGCAGAGAAGTACGTAATCAATCCTGCACAATTAGGTTAATGAATTTCAACTTGCTTAAACATAGAGTGGCCCTCAGTGACTTGACTGAAAACAGGAGTGGGGCAGAGCTGATGAAGTATCAGCTATACTCTTTTACTCCAGTCAATTACAATGCTCAGGACCCAACTCTCTTGCTTCCCCATATCCCCCTGCAAAGACCACACCTTTGTTAAACAAGATGCACGTGCAGAGAGCTGCTACAAAGTGAGGTCTGTGACACAACTAGGTAGAACACTTCCATTCAGCCTGTATTTGAATAAAACCATGAGAGAAGTTTGTCCACCCAGTCAAACAGAACACTTTCAACTTCAGTCCCTTACAACATCTGAGACAGCATTTCAGCCTTCAGCGATGGATAAGTATTTCCTTGGCCTAAGAAAATCTAGGGGGAAAAAAGTTTGGTAGACTGTGACCACTGTCTCTGAAACCATGTTTATTTTAGCTAAATTGTTCTACTGAAGTCTGAGGGATTCCTGCACAGGAGGAGGAACTTTGGGGTTTAACTCTAACTTTGCCTGTATTTAAAAAACCTCTTAGTAGACCCATTTCTCAAGTAAACTTCTTGTTCAGGTTTGGTTTTTTTTTTTTTGTTCTACAAATGAAATAGTGTTGTAAACTTTAACACCATTAAAAAATCCTAGTTTTTAATATACAATTATCGGTTAATTTCATTTAATATCTTTCTACTGTAAATCAACTTTAGGAAGCAAAGCATACATGACAGCATGGATACTGCAACGAACAGCTTCCTACAGCTTTCAGAAAAGATAGACTGTCCAAGAACGATTCAGTCACAGCTTGTAAACTATCACAGCTCAGCTGAAGTCAACTCAGCCATTGCAATTAATTCAGGCTGAGCAGCTAATCCACCGATTCCTTCACCTGCAGTATCAGGGATAACGGTCTGTCTCCAGGCTGGGAGATGATCACGGTTAGAGAGGCCTGGGTCCACATACTCTGAAAAACAAAATATGTTGCCTTTCCCAGTAGAGAATTCTTCATTCTCATTTAATGGAAGATTCAGTCTATTCAGTCTAATAGAATAACAGCTGTGCACTACGATGGAAGAAGAATAAAGTAGTAGCTTTTGGAAGAAACCATCTTCATTTTGGGGGTTTGGGGGAGGGTTAAAAAAAAAAAAAAAAAAGAGGGAACAGTAACTGCTAACACTGTTACCACTGGGGACACAAACTTCTAATCTGAGATTTGCTTTTCTTTCTGCAAATTGAAATTTTGTCACAACTTCTCCCCCAAGGAACTTCAACGTTGGTGAACATACGGAATTTTTAAATCCACAGATCAATTGTAGCATCCAGACAAGGGGCAGAGGGAGAAAAGGAAGGGGAAAAAAAAAAGGAGGGGGGGAAGGGAATAAAAAGAAAGCTCAGAAGTGCACTTCATATATCCTGCCTCACAAATGGTTAAAGTGCTAAGTTGGATACATCCCGAAATTAAGTATCTCTCCTAGTCCTTTATTTTTTTAAATGAAACTTTATCTTTGGTTTCTTGGATCTTCTCTGTAATTTTATCCTTTGTTTCCTCCATCTTCTCAGTGATTTTATCTTTTGTTTCTTCCATCTTCTCAGTGATTTTATCCTTTGTTTCCTCCATCCTGTCTTGCAGGTATTCCTTTACAGGTGGTGGGGTGGACATGTAGCCACTCTTCCGTAGATATTTAACGGTGATGGACGTCCCTCCCAAAGTCACAGTGTATCTGGCAGGAGTTGCAATCTTAAAGAAACCAACACAGCATATCAATAAAACAGGACGATATTCTCTAGCAAAGGGTATTTTTAATACTGAGAATTTATTTTGGCCAGTGTCAGCTACTAAAAGGATCTTCTATTTATAAGAAAATAAGCCAATTTACAGTATGCCCCCCAGAAATGCATACCTTTTACTTAAAGTATCCTTTTGACAAAACCAGCATAGGCATTTAGTCTTCCATTAAAGAAAACCCCACCCCACACTCCCTGTGGGGCTTGTGGGACAAGCATTAGGCACCTCAGGATGCAATTCGGAACAGTTTGAACACTGAGCCATATAAGCAAAGATGAAATACTGACAAGATACAGTTTAAATTCAAAGATTCACAAGGGTATAGGCATCTTTCAGTCCAAAACTAGGACCTGTACATAAAAAACCTAGAGCAAAGAAGAGACCATAGGTGGTCAGCTAATCCAAGACACAACAAACCAGGTTTTTTGTTCTACAGACTAACTTATTCTTTCAGAACTTCAGAGATAAAGCCTGTGCAATCTTCCCTTTGTAACCTACTTAGTGCTTCCACATCTTGATTTCTTCCAACACTGCCAGATCTCTCAGCTCTAATAAAATCTTTAACAACATTTATTGGTCTCTTCTAAGCACAGGAATAGTTGGCATGCATAGTGCTTTCACATTTTGTTTGGGAAAACCACCCCTTTAAGCACATCACATTTGGAAACGAAACAGATGAGTGGCATTTGAAGCAAATAGAGTACTTTGGCTTCGCATGGTCTGACACATTTCACATTTCCCAAACACAGACTGGGCACACGTGAAGGAAGAAAAAAAGACCCCAAACTGAACGTAAGTAATTGATACAAATGGCAGTGGAAGTACTTGAAAATAATGGAGAGCTAAGGTAGGGAGGCAAACTAGCGAATCCTCTAGGATAAAAATAACTGTACTTTTATCTGGAAATCGTGAGCTGTTTGGACTTTACCTCTTTATCTCTGTTAATTATGTCAGGGATCCAGAGGAATAAGTTAATTGTAATTAAATCTCTCAGGGCAGACAACAGTTCTGCAGCAAACAAAGAAGTTATTTTAGAAATACAGATAGACTCCTTAAAGGAACATGGAGCCCTCGTCAGCTTGCATGTGACTATTTACCACAAAAAATGAATGCTCAAGTATGCGTAACTATCAGAGAGAGAAAACAGCATTAATTCTTTCTGCTGTGAACAAATAAACCCTGTTCAGTTCACCAGTCAACACTTAGAGCTTATTTGCAAGCTCTAATCCTACTTACTTTATACAGCGCGTACGCAGTTAGTGCATTTCCACTCTGGGAATTTTTCAGGATGTTTACGATGCTCTCTGGTAAGCCAATCAACTCTAGGAATGGGACAACATTCACTCCCCTATAAAAGAGAAAAAAATTGGCAACCTGAATTGGAATTTGAAACCTGAACAGCGATTTACAGTACCACTTCCATTCTTTACAAACTTTGTAATTTGATAGAAAAATATTTTTTCATTTAAGCAACTCAGTATAATTACAGGCTTTATATTTCTATACATATAGCAAATTAATGTTCTTTTCAGCATTCCAGCATGAGGTGACCCGTTATCTCTGTTGGGCTGAGCAGCTGCTAACTTACCTGTGTCCCAGGTTTTAATGTTTGGAAGTAAGTAGATACAATGGTGGTAAGATAACTACTCAGGCTCTAGTTGGGCAGGTTCAACTTCGTGTGCTGTTTAACCTAAAATTACACTTCTTTTTTCTTTTTAAAATTTCAGACTCATCTGCAGCACACCCAGAAGCACAGAATCCAGACTTCAGTGTCCCCCCCATTCATTTTTAAATATATCAAACAACAGGAATGTGGCAAAATAAAAGGGAGCAACGTGTTACGTGGACAAGACTTCAGGGGTTCTGTGCCCAGCTGTTCTACCTTGTCAACACGGTGGTGGTGGGAGTTCCCATCACAATTTCTTTCTACTTGAAAACCAGGGAAGCCAACATCAGCACCAAATTAAAACAAGACAGCAGTTTTAGAAGACCTGACCTTCCGATATTTAGGGATGTATCATCATCCATTTCTACCTAATCTTTTCAGCATTCTTCTACACGTGTGATCACTTCAGCATGAGGAACAATAACTGGCAGTAGTACATTAACAGTTACTAGAACCTACACTCTGAAGGCCTGTGCCCAGAGCAGAAAATGGAGACCTAGCAAGATCTGAAAGACAGCACTAACTGCAGTATTTAATAAACCATCACTGTTTAGTCTAAGATCACGAGCACGAGTCATTCTGCAACTTATTCTTCTACTTCAAGAGGGTGCTGCTCCTGCTGCGTGACAAACTGAAGCTTTGTTACAATTAGTTTCCAGCTACGTATTTCAGTTGTTTTCATCCATCAAAAACCTATTTTCAGCAGCTAACTTAAGTGTTTCAAGAAAAGTAATCTCCACTCAATCTGAAATGCCTGGATTGCAAGCATCAACTTGAATTCATCCAAAGCAAAATATTTTTATAGCTTAAGACCGTTATTCCTCTGATATGAGCTAAATTTAGAATGACATTTGGATCTACAGCTCCTAGAAAGGGCAATTATGCCAGCTGGTTAGAGTAACTAAAACAAACACTTGTGTGGTAAGGCATTCTGATGTCAAACCTCCATCCTTGCCACCACAAACTGTCGTTGTTTCATGCTTTCTATTATTAAATAAACAACACTAGTGATCCAGACATAAACATTTACTCATATTTTGCAAACCATTTGCAGACAGATAAAACCTTTCACCTGAACTAGCAGCTCACAGATGATACAGTAGGTTTTTTCCTAATAAATGCCATTTTCCAGAACAGTATCTGGCGCATGCAATAGCTGAAAGAAACTAAAATTAGAAAACATGATTTACCTTTTTTTTAGCCACACAAATATTTAATTTCCAATTCAAACATCTGGCCTACAGCAGCAATTTTTCCAGTGGAGGGAAAAAAAGACAGGCAACAGAAATAGAAAAGGAAAAGATACACATGGCTTGTGAGGAGCTCAGAGTGAGATGAACGACACAGAAGTCTAATCATGAGGAAGAACTGGGGATGAAGGAGGGAGGAAGTGGTGAAATACCCCCCAAGTCCAACAGCAAAAAAAACCCCAAACAAACAGGTCTATAAAGGTCTCACCTAGCAACATAACCAGGATTCCAAATCCTTATCTATTTGTGAGAGATTGCTAATAATTTCAGTGCTGCTTACACCCATGCATATTTTTGTGGAGATGAGCATTCCTTAAAATGTTAGCAACATATCTGGTATAGAGCAGTAACTGCCTAACAACAGTACATTCGTGACATTCATGAATCTTACATATTTTCGATACTAATCTTCAGTTTAAAATGTAGCCCCATTTCCCTATTACATATAGAGGCAATTTTTAACATATAGTAAGAACAATTTATATGTCCTTTCACCTGTGAAAGTCAGTTTCAATTCAACAGCAGCATTGGGCACTGCAACGTAGTATCAACTTACTTCATGGCTGCATAGTAAAAGGATCCAAACCACACGGTGGAAGTCAGAAGATGCACTGGAATCATGACTTTTCCATACTGCTTAAAAGTTTTTTTGAATCTCTGAACGAGACTAATTGATTTGTCTTGTAATGGATCCGCATCTGAAGAATCTGACTCTACAGGGCTTTGCCTGGGTGTGTCAGTGGCCGAAGTCAAGGGATTTCTCTCTTCCGGTACTTTGTGGGGAGTGTCTGCTGGCTGTGGTGAAAAAGCACTTTTCTTTGAGGCAAAGTGTGCTGCACCTGCATGAAGACGTCGTTTAGGAGGGTCCAGTGTCAGAATCACTTTGCATCCAACCTTAGACAACACGGATTGTCCTTTTAAGCACTGAAAGGTACTAGTGCGAGGAAAAACCAAACACGTCCCATGTGCCAGCTGAGATGCTGCATGTAGTAGACTCCACTGCATTTTGCTGAAGTGTGGCTGAGGGTTCTATACAGAGGAGACAAGAAGAGAGTAACCAAATTACACTTCAATAATCTGATTTCTGATTGCCCCAATGCCAATTGAAATTCTCCAGTTTTAAATTGCTTGCTATTCTTCTACTTTAAAATATTTTCCTTATCTCACTTTGCAGACCTTTGTTTCCTTCTGGAATTAAGCAAATCATTTTAGAACTCACTTCTTTAGCATCCTGAACTAAAATGGCCCCATTGGTTAACACACTAAGCTCCTCACCGCCAAAATGCTCGTTCTACACTCTAAAAACACTTTTAGATATTTAGTGCTAACTACTGCTTTTATCTGCATAATCTGTCACTGTTACGGAAAAGCTGCCCTTGAATCTTCACTTCCAGCAGCAACGGATAGTTTGATACTTCCGGTCGACATAAATGTACCATGAACTCACTGAAGTGCAATTAAAATTATTGTTTGCTGTCAGTAGGTTCTTAATTTTGGTATAATTTTTCATGTTCTATACTATTTTGAACTAAAAGTCCATACAGTAAAAAAACCCCCAATAATTAATAATCAATCTATAATCTTAATAGTAACGAGTCTACCACAACAGCCTGCCAATATACATCTGTTAGGAAAGGGGACAGTACTGTTGAGCATTCTTGTCATGTCAGGGGCAAAACTGACCTGCAATTTCCTAAATGCTACAATGCAAAGAATATTTTAAAATGGGATAACCCAGTTAACTTATGATTTTGAATACTTAACAGTTAATCCTAGAAGTTCAAAAGAGCCACCGAGAGATTCCCCACAAAAGAGAGGGATTTTGTTTGGCAAGTATAGACATCAAGAAGGCATTTTCCCCCCCTGAGAAATGCATGCTTTCAACTAGTGAATGAAACAGTAACTTCTCTCCTTTCCTTTACACAGTGACTGCAAGTTACAGAACTAACCTTCCTTCCCTCCAAAAAAGTGCCACTAATTGATTTTATGTAACAAATGCCAAATAAGTCAGTTATACTACCACTTTTGAAACATTCTAATGCTTTTACATTTTTAATTATGACAACGATTCTTGATCCAAATGGGAAATCATTCAAGTTTAATTGAAATTCCACTGTTGTCTTAATGTCTGCTTCCCCTTCAGCCTTAGGTATATTTCCCCTATAGCCTTAGGTATATTTCAGTCAGGTGTTTTGATAGTGAATTTGATTAGGCTGCTGAAAATGATCAATAATTCATAACATAAGCAGAGTTTTTTAGAAAATTAAGCCATACATACCCTTTTTTACTTTCCAGACATGCAACAAGAAGCATATGATGTCTGTATCTTCAAAAGGTTGCAACTCTTCCACTACTTCCCCACCTTTCAAATGTAGGTCTTGAACATAGTGATAACTCTGCTGAAGTAGAAGAAAAGGCACATTTAGAGAAATAGCAACAGGAGCAAACTAGTATTATCAAGATTTCTAGTCAGCCTGAAACCTTGTTTACTGAAGTTACTGGTATAAATTTCCCTTTGGATACCAACATGCTAATTTTTCTGTGTAACTCCAAAGTTCCTCAACTGTGAGCTACCGCTTCCTTCCAAGAGGAAGTCAAATAACTCAAATGCATCTGTTGGAACATTCTTGACTCTATGTTTTCTAGATATCTTAATGTTTTTATTGCACTCAAATTAATTGCAATTCCTAGAATTACAATGTTTGATGCAGAGAAAAGATTGGAGGAATGGTTTCAAACTCCCTGGTAACTTCTACCTTAGATATGAACCACAGACACCCCCTTTTGTTGAACTCATACGAACAGGGGCGGTATTCCATCAACAGGGGAAAAAGGAACTCTTGTCTCTATGTAAGCAAGCAAGTTACCCAGTCCCGTCGACTTCCAAACTCGGTGGGAGCCAAGAAGTGCTGCTGCTTTTAGAGCAGTAGATCAGCTACAGGTACTGCCTCTCAACCAGTCGGCCTTCTGTAAGAATTCACTGGGAGTAGCAACTGCTTGTGGTATCTCTGGTTTTATGAGAAGCAAAGATTCTCGCCGACTACTTAGCTCCAAAAGCAATAGCTCCTCCAAACAAAAATTAGTGAAAACACTCACCAAAACAAGTGTTAAGATGGCACTGTCATATCCCAAATACCTTACAGATTTATAGAAATTGTAACAACAAACTGGAAGACAACAACTACACCACTTGCTAGTGCCACTTATGGTCCTTTTGAGGGATAACACTCTCCGTAGAGGACTGTTTTCCCCTCGCAGTACACAACACTGAGTATCTGCCCTAAGGCGATTTTCACAATATCCAGCCACCAGACTCAAAGGACACCTATCTGTCTACCAGAATTTGGGAGCTCTTGAGTCAGACTTCCGTTATTCATCTAGTTTCAGTGGATGGTATCCTACTGAAAAATACCTGCTGCAAACAAGTTTTGAAAATTGTCACCATGCAGCATGGGGGAAACCATGCTCAGCACTCCGATTTTGATCCATTAATGTTATTAACAGGATCTGCATTCCAGCAGCCTTGGAGGGAGATCATTCTTCTGTACAGAAGCAAGCAAGCAGAACTGAATTTTCCCATTATATACAGCATAGCTATAGCGGCTTTTCTCAGAACACTGCTTCTAGGTTTTGCTGTCCAGCACCTACTGATGGCACAAAAGTAGCACGGTGCCAGGCCTTGATACACTGCGGCAGCTGCAGAACATCAGGGTATGAAACAGCTTTTGGGGGTGAGGTGATTCCTCCTTAATGTGAGGAAGCAATGGGTCGCTACTATGTCTTCAATAGTCGTTACTCAGTAGCTGAACGGAGTTTCAAGGCCCCTGCTCACAGAGTTAAGCGCACTATATAAGACTTAATAGAATGTCACTGATGGCTTTAAAGCAGGGGAACTATCAGGGCCACTGACAAGACTCAACATGCTATTTTTTTGTTCCCGTATCCTCAGATAGACTTGGAACTCATTAACTAAAGGGTTTTTCCTCCATGATGCAAAACCTGGTTGGTCAAAGGGAAGGTTCTCTAACGATCTAGGGTAGATCCTGAGAGAATCCTGAATCTTGTAGGCACAGACAAACAGTATGCTTCTAGCTAATATTCTGTCAAACAGCTTACCTTTTGCTTCACCGTTTTAAAAAAGCTTTTTACTAGATACTCCATATATAAGACAAGGCTTAGGCATGATAGTGCTTTTGTTTGAGAGTAAAATGAAACAGGTTTTTCAAAACAAGGTTGGAATTTTCCTGACAATCCTACTATGTTTTAAAGGTAAGTGCTTTATTTTACTTCTCTAACTGAGCAAAGGAGAGACTTGAAGTGTCACTAAGCTGAAGATGTCACTACTGTCCAGCAGCACTACAAGACTAAAGGAGGGAAGTATCATGTTTATAATGGCTGCAGCAGGCTGTAGGAAAGGCAAATGAATAAAATAACAGATTAATACAGCATTTGCTTTGGAACTGATTTTAAAGAAATTTGTATTGTTAAAGGGGTGATGAGTGCAGCTGCTCAATTGTAGGGTTTTAATTACTTGGCTCAACACTGCAAACAAATCTTAAACAGGACAGACAACTCAAAGTGCACAATAAATGAGGTTAGAAATGCAGAGAAATATGAAACTGTAGTTGTTCCATCCTTCTAAAACATGAGATTAATACAGAGAACATCTGTCCTTTAAGATGCGATTAGTGAAAGAAGTTGCTAGTTCCCTGTGCACTCAACAGGCAGCAGGAGAAAGTGTGTCAGTTATGAAAGTTACACAACTGACCTTGTAACTTTGGGTTGTTAAAACCCCTCAGATTCTAAGGAAGGCAGGACAGTAACCTGAATATTATCCACAATGACGCCTAATACAGTTTCAAAAGTTGCTTCTTCATTTTAGTGCATTTCATTTTTTCATGCCTTTGCACGATGAGGCAAAGGCACAGAAAAGGTCAGAAGCTAGAACCTTCAAATACCAAGGTGGAAAAGCAGCTCATCTGCGGCATAAGAACTTGTGGGGTGGTGGTAGCAGAAGGTGGTTTAGAGGACCTTAGACTTCTACATTAGCTTTCCCTTTAAAATGCCACAAGGGAAAAGAAAAAAAAAAAAAAAATCAATAGCACAGAGATGTCTAAGGACAAATATAGCTGTTCTCTGGTGTAAGAATCTCACGTGGTCAGTGACTGGATGCTAGCAGGGCAAACTGCAAAATGACACACAAACACTTCTGGGATAAGGTCTCCTCGTCAGTGCTGTCATATTCTGGCTAACTATTTAGTAGTATCTCCAGCTGGCTGTAAACTGAGCTGAAGAGATCTTGGCTGTTTGGGACATACTCCTGGTTGGGATTCTTGGACATCCATTTAGTTCCTGAAGGCACGTCTGCCTCATGGCCAGCTATTAACAAGCCCTCTGACATGCAGGGAGTGCTCTAGTGGCCTCCTGAGTAAAAGTATAGACCAGCTTCTCAGAGCACCAGAGGGTTTGTTTAGGAAACGTCGCTACTTCTGTTATAATTATGCAGGGAGTGCTCTAGTGGCCTCCTGAGTAAAAGTATAGACCAGCTTCTCAGAGCACCAGAGCACCAGAGACTTCTCAGAGCGCCAGAGACTTTGCTTCGCTACTTCGGTTATAATTTAGGTCAGCTTTTGGCATGAAACTGATGTACTGCAGGAGTCTCTTGCATTTGTTCTGCCGCATCTTCGACTTCCAGTGATTATTTTGTTCCCAAGGGCAACAAAAGTTCAGGATCTTTTCATATGAGATTCGGTCTGCGTGACTACCGCATATGCATGGGTTTGGATGCGTACTAACATTTTAGGCAAAAAAAACCCCACAACACCCGCCCAAACCCAAAACCCCAAACAACCAAAAAGCCCAACCAACATGTAATTGGAAAAAACAGAACTAACAAGCCAGACTGATACAGGTAAAGGAAAGAGAAATCATGCCAGATGATGCTGTCAGATGAAACTTTCATCAGGATAATGTGTAGGAAAGCAGTTACCCTATTATGATTAACACTTTTTAAGCTACCAGAGAA